TAATAGAGTACGAATTGATTTTGCAATATTGACTGCACCTGCGACAATAGCAGACAAGAAAATAATGAACGAGACACAACAGATAAAATCTACAGCCCTATCATATTTTTTGCAATCACCATCCGAATAATTTTGTCCACGGCAATAATGATTGTAAAGGATCAATGGATTCAAATACGAGTATAAAACATTATTGGACTCAGGCTCTCAGTCAAATTTTACAACTACTGCAATGGTAAAGAAACTTGGTTTACCTTGTACTGAGTCGGACACGTGCGTTATGATAATTGGAGCTTTCACACGCGAGGTACAATATAAAAATAGCGTCGAAATATAATTTTTCGTCGCATCATTTCGTATTTCATACTACCAAACATAACTGAAAATATATCAACTCAGCGTTCCACCGTACACAAAAAGATTCGCAGTCATTATGCAATTCATTATTAGTGACAAATGAACCTCAATAAGTAGGTCGAATTTTGGAATATAAAAATGGTATATCCAATAATTCAAATTCATTTGTAAATGATCCAGCTGAAGAACATTTCGTACATTTCGTAGAACACTATTCAACAATAACAATGACGGACGTTTTGTTGTAAGAATTCCATTTAAGAAAACAATAAATAATTTAAAGGACTCTCAAGACCAGACACACAAAAGATTCTTATCACTTGAACAAAAACTCGATAAACATCCGGAATTAAAATAACAATAATACAAATAATTTACTTGCTGCCCAGCTTACTACCGTACATTGCTACCTGTGGGGTAGACTATGCAGGTCCGTATTCAATTACGTACGAAATTACGAAAATGTACTAAGGTCAATATTAATTACATCTGCTTATTCGTATATTTCGCAACAAAGGCGCTTTATATTGAATTAACCACTGATCTTTCTATAAATGCTAAACTATTTAAGAAGATTTATTGTATCGAGGATTATGCCACGATATTCGGATAATGGAATTAACTTTATTGGAACATGAAATGAATTACTTGAATTTAAAAGAACAAAGAAAGAAGTTCAGAAATAACACAATTTCTTTTAAATAATGAAATATAATGATCCCTTCTCGTGCACCTCATTTCGGATGTTTGTGGGAGAGCTCTATTAAGTCAGCGAAACAAGTAATCGGAGATGCGATACTGCTATATGAGGAATTATATATTGTCTTGATACAAATAGAGACAGTCCTTAATTCCTGCCCTTTAAGTTCCTTATCATCCGATCCCGATAATTTAACTCCATTGAAAGTGTCCTTGATCATTTTCTGGTCAGTGATTCTTTGCCCCCCTTGCATCTTATCTGTAAAATATAACAATGAACAGACTGAACAGATTCCAGATTATTCAAAGGAGTACAATAATTTTGGAAGCGTTGGCATAGTATATTTGTAGAATTATCAAAACAACTCCACCAAGACAACAATAGTGTGTAACGTCAGCTGACAAATTCGGACCCGTATAATGATTATAGGGATAGTAATTCCTATAAGGACAATAATTTCCCATCACTACAATTAGAACAAATCCTGGAACTACATCCTGGAAAGGACAAAATCGCCAGAGTAGTAACAATCAGAACAGTTGAGAGAATAATTAAAAGGCGAGATCAAAATCTGTATTTTACCTATGAACGAATATTTTATGCGTATATATAATATTCTATGCGCAACTACATCACTCCAAGATATAGAAACAAAAAAACATCAAAAGTTAACTTAATAGGCTCATAATTTGTTAATATAATTAATATAGTTGTAAACCATTTAGTTTTAGAATTATGTATTATAATTTACAATGTATTGCATGAATTGATTTCGCGCATTTTACTTATTATCAGACTGTCAATTTGCATTGTAATTGAACGCAACGCAAGGCATATTCAGACATTAAATAGATGATGTCCAGATAAAATGGTTTAGGATGATGCTGCCAAGAACAATGTCATTTTTAAGAGAAATTTGGTAATCATTTATTTTGCACATTTAGAAACAATTCGGCATGGCTAGAATATCAATATGATCTTGATACCTGAGACATTTATAACCATCCCAGTCTCAACGTAGTCAGCGTTATTCTATCTGAAAGGAATTATTGCAAACATGTGCGAAACAGTTTCCTGGAAAAACAATAGACTTGTGAATGGCATCCTGAGTGGCTCCTTGGATTCATTCTAGGAAGTTTTCTTTGGATCGGGATGCCGCTTAACCAGGTAATTGGTCTGCAGCGTTATTGGACACCTATGTATCTCTGATACTCACTGAAGATTCACAAGCTCGAAAATGGAAAATGGCGGAGGCTTCAGAGGATACCAATGTGGGGAAGAACCTTTAAAAATGTTCGAGAATTACAAAAATCAGAATTACAAAAAATAAGCAAGAATTATCAAAACAAGAACTTTCAGAACTCTTTGAACTTCAAAGTTTAGTGAAGTTAATGGTACATTATTGGTATATGGATTTTGCCTTTGATTGTCTGTATGAATTGAATTTATTAACAACGAATTTCGTAATAATTATTTTTATATAATTATATTTTATAACTCCAGGAAGGTTGGAGCTAATAAACATTTTGTAAATATAATTCCAAAAAATATCTAAAAAAATGCTATCGCAAAGATTCGGGGAAAATATAAAATCTCAACTTCGAGAATACAATTCAGCAATAGGAAGATGTAGATTTCAAGTATTAAATATTATTAAGAATGTGTTTATATTATCTGAAATAATTGAATGTAAAATACAAAGATTTTTGCATGTCATTAAATGCTTATATGTAAACAATATGTAGCATAATGATGATATAAGCATTTGCAATTAGTAATACGTAAGTATGTTGCATAAGTAATATCAGATTGTGCATATTACATAATACAAATTAATTTTTAATAATATTTATAGTCACATTAATATAATTGATTATTTTATCATAAAATAATATCTAATTTTATTATTTAATCCAATTAAAATCATATTAAAACAGCATTTAAAAATAGTCACACATTATACTGCAAAAATTAATTTCTTTTTTTTCAAAATTATTGCAATAATGTTTAATAAATATGTTCAATTTTTGTTTATACATCATAAAATTATAATTAATATAAATATGACATTTAATCAATTTTAATGTTGAATTTATTATATAACAATATCTTTTGAATGCATGAATTATAGTTAAGATTTCATATTTTTTAATATTCGTTTGCCTTCTATAAATTTCATTAATTTTCATTTCGATCGAATTCAGAATCATTCAGAAATATAATTCGTTTCGGAAATATTATTACAATATTATAATAGATTACTTTATCATATTTTTTTAATTAGAATCAAAAAAAACACTGATAGTAAAATTAATCATTGTTAAAACATTCAAATTTTGTTATAAAAGGATTTAGTTTATATTAGTAAAGCCTTGTAATTCTATGTATCTAACGATGAAAAAATATAAGATAAAAATTATGATTTCTTTATTATTATAACTTCATTAAAAATTAAAACAAATTATCGAGAGAAAAAGAATGAAAATAATTGATCAATTTATCATGTCACATATTATAGATCAATTATCTAATTCCAATTTTTTTTTATAAAATATATTACATTATTTTTGTATTATTTTTTCATTTTCATGATATTAATATATAAAATGAGCCATCTAAATATCTCGGATGTTATTGCAGATAGAAAAAAATGTGAAAGATATTGATAAAAATATTTGATAAAAATATTAATTTGATATAAATAAATATATAGAGACGTCAACAATTTTGTTTTTTTAAATAGAATAATTTTTTTTACAAATCATTTAGTAAATATTTTAAAATGCATATAATTCAAAGTTATTTAAAGTCATTGAAAATCGACTACAAGACAAAATAATTTATTTTGTGTAAGTGATAAAATTCTTTAGTTCTTACAATTAATAATGTAAACAATAAAGAATAAATGTTAACAACAATATAACAATAGAAATCATCGAATATAATCCATTTTATTACACTATATGCTTCATTATTTATCTTGTATTCATGTATTTTATTGTTAATTTGGAATATTCTATTCATCTATGGCTTATTTTTTTAAAATATATTATTCAAAAGTGCAAAAAGTAGATATGGTTCATATTTATCAAATACTGTCAAATTATGAGAAACAATTTGTATGCAGATTTTTTAAACATGTTAGATACTTATTACAAATATTATAAAAAATTTTCAAGAAATTGAAAAAATAGTACTAGTAAATAAATCATCATTAAAATTAGATTTGCTCATATTTTTTTTTTTTATAATTGATCTTTAACTGTTTTGAATGATCATTGAATCATAGATTATTGTATCTTAAAATATTTTACCAGAACTATGTAAAAAAACATATCATTCTATTTAAAAAGAAGAAATTGATTTTCATAACATTTACATGACATTTTATATCACGTAACATCATATATTTATCAAAAACTATTTACATCAAATTATGTAAGTGTCTATTATGTAAAATTTTATATATTTTAATTTTATATATTTTCCTACTAAAATAACTAACAATAATAATCAAGATAATCAAATGGCTTAAATATAATTCAATTTGCTTCATCTAATTATATATATTATTATATATATTATTATTATATATATAATAATAATATATAATAATATATAATAATATAATAATATATATATAATTATATATATTATATATATTATATTATATATATAATTATATATATTATCTAATTATATATATTATCTAATTATATATATTATGTGCAATTATATAATATAAAGATTAATATTAATATAAAATTAAGATAACAATAGAAATTATATAATTAATATAATTAATATATAATATATTCCAGAAAACTTAATTAATTACTTTAGCGATTTCAAGCAACTTTTTCTTTTGCAAAAATTTTTGTTTCAGTTTTATTAAACAAGTTATTAACAACAAATACTGGTCAATCAAAATGCGTATACTTACCGCATCGTGATAATAACATATTGTCAACGAATTGTCGGACTTGAATAAACAGATATGATTTATGTATATTAAAATCAGGATTGTTGAATAAATTCCTTTGTAAAATTTTGTTCAGATTCTTTGTGAGCTATACAAATAGGATAAAACATATTTATAATTTTATAATATTTATTATATGAAATAATGTAGAAAAGTTATGACAATTTTTAAAAATATTAATATATTATAAACATAATATTAGATTAAAAATTATAAAAAAATATTTAATAAAAGAAGAATAACCTTTGCATAATTTACAAATTTTTCAATTTTTGTTATCCAAAAATTAATATAGCTTAAATAATAATAAAAAACAAGATGTACTTTTTTCCAAAATATTCAATTTTATATTAGATAAATAATTATTTCTCATATTGTACTACAACATTTTTAAAATTTCAATTAAATTTCAAATAAAGATCAATTAAAAATGACCTAAAATCAAAAAATTAATTCTGACGTAATTCATATAAAATATCTAAATAACATATGCATATTAATTGTTCGTTCAGATTAATGTTCAAGTAAACAATGATCAATTTCGTTGCCATTACATTTGTATGATTTGGTAAATTTATATTTATATATACATATAAATATTGTATTCATATGAATATAATTAGAATACAATGGATTCAATATTCCATTAAGCGAAATACAAAATTTTCAGCATGAAATAAAGAAAATATCTTTACTTGTAAATTGAATTTAGAAGAAAAATTAAATATAGAATTCGATGAATACAATTTAAAATGATTAATATCTATTATAATATATAATCTCCTAATTAATCTAAATAATTAATTTTACTTATATCAAGTAATTTTTTAAAATGTTGAAATATTAATTTTCTTTAAGGATATATATGTTAGATGTTGGCAGAACATAAAAAACATTGCGTTGATACATTATGTAAAATTATTATCGTCACTATTTTTTCCTTATATTTTAAATAGATTCTCAAAGTATTTAATTATTTTTTTTATTTTAATAACTTAACTTATTTGTAACTTATTTTTTTATTTTAATAACTTAACATATTTGTGTACCATTTGTATATCATTTATTATATAATATTATTTTTCAAAATTAATTTTAAATAAATTTTATTTTTAACGATTAAATATATTTTTAAATATTTATAGTAAATATTTTTACAAAAGTGATTTAAATACAGATCTCTAATTCATTTTATTTGTATTATTTTTTTAACTTTTTTAACGTTTTGTTAATGTTGAAATTAATCCTTAATAGTAAAAGATATTTTGATCATTTAATAATTCTTACCAAAATTCATATAAAAATATTATTATAAAGAATTTGTTAAAATGAAAAAATGATCAAAAATTAAAAATGATATTTAGAAAAAGAATTTTGAAGCTTAATTTCCTATTTTTCGTATATTAATCAAAAATCATAGTTTCAAATTTGTATTAAAAAAATACGAATACATATTATTTCATGTATTTAAATATATATTGAATACATTGTTATTTATGCATATCTAATATTAATAAAATAAATCAGTAGTCCATTATACGAAAAAAAGTTTTTATTTCATTACTTTCTTCTATTAAATTTAAAATTGTATTCACATATTCATAATTTCAATCAAGAGAATTTTAGTAATTAAATTTTAATATTTAATATAAATTTCAATTAAATAATTTACTTAATACTTAATAATATTGCTTAATATTATCTAGTAATTTAATATTGATTAAATAACAATTAAATAATTATAAATATACATATCTATGTACAAAGTATTTTGTTTAACTGAATATAATCTTACAAGAAATTAAAATTATCAAAGAAATATTTTAATAAAATTTGACTTAAATATAATTCAAAAATATATAAAATTCTATTATTTAAAAAAAAATAAAGTTGAGATTAAAATTTTTCTCACCATTTAATCTATGAAAAAATTTATATATATATATGATTATATATATAAATTATAATCATATTATATTATTATATATATAAATTATAATCATATATGTATATGATTATAAAAATTTTTTTATATATGATATTCTCCTTTAAATCAAATAACTTTCGTCAAAATATTTTTTATATAACTTTTGTGAGATATTTGATATACATAATTAAACAAAATACTTTATAATCACGGTTGATATAATCGAATATTTTAATTATTATATTATAATTTTAATTATAACTGATAATAATAATTGCATTTAATTTTATTGCCAACTATTTTTCATTACAAGTAATTTATAAAAATTCCTTTGTTTATAATCGATATTCTAAATATAAAATTAAAAAGTTTTATATAAATGAAAACTTTTGGTCTTACCTTATTTACTTGTTTTTCTTCTTCCAAATAATCAAAGAATTAATCAAAGATAATTAAATAATTGATTAAAATTCAAAATAAAAATGCACAAAAGACCTCAATCTTCTTATTAAATGATTAATTTAGAAACTCTTTTTGACTTCTAATGTGTAATTTAATTTTTAATAAATAGTTCGCACTATACTTTTAATAAAATACTTTTATAAAATACTTTTATTAAAATCGATCGTAATAATTTTAAATTAGACTGATTCTGCTTAGATTTTTAAACGTTACTGACACATTATATACTACTGTGTCGCTGATAGACATCGCAACTTAACTTTTCAGCATATTTTGATTTATCATCTTCCACTTCTTTCAAGCAGAAAGTAAGAAAGACTATGTACAAAGTATTCAGATGAAGTAGAAAATTTAAAATTAAAATAGAAAATTTAAGGAATGCTTCTAGAGATTAAAACAAACAAAACTATACAAAAATGTCCATCGAATTTTATTTATTTTTATAATCATTTTAATTCTAAATGAAACGAAATGGAAAATAATTTTATTTTCGTCGCACATACTTCGTTTTATCGACGTTTCATTTTATAATCATATTTATATAAAATTAAATTGCTTATAACTTCAAAAATGATTTTTAATATATTTTTTAATATATTATCAATTTTTATATTTAGGATATTTGTTGAAATTTATTTTTCAAATTATAAGCAATTAATTTAAAAAGAAAATAATTATAATATATAATTATATAATTACATAATATATTAATATATTAATACATTATAATATATAAATATTATATGTATGTATATAATGTATATATTTATATGTATGTATTTATATATACATGGATTATTAAAAAAAAAATCATTTAAATTTATATAATATAGAACATATCATTAGGAATTAGCATAATTTGTTACGAAGTATACGAAGTAGAAATTGAATTAGAACATTCAGAAAACAATTTATAAACACAGATAAAAACATCAAATGCAGAAATCAATAATAAGTCAATCATAATGCTAACTAATAAAACAAAAAATAACTATATCTTAGAATTAAATTTTCAATCTATTTACTTAAGGCATTATTTAGTATGATATGTTTTATAATAATTTTTATAATAAATTTATTTATGCCACATAAATTTTGAATTGATATTTTTGAATACTCTATATTATTAGTAATAGTATATAATAATAATAATTATTATTATATATATATAGATATTCTTATATATTATTATATGTATATAATAATATATAAATATAAATCCATTACACAAAAATGTGAGATATCTTTAGAGGATAGATTCTAAACATCAAATGATGAAAAAAATTTATATCATATATATCCGTTAGAATAATCCGTTAATTAACGAATTATAAATTATAAGTCAGATAAATCATTTTATTAAAAAAAAATCTTAACTTGCCAAAATTCATAATAATTATATTTTAAATTTGCATTAGATAGAGTGAAACAGTGGAAGAGTGAGAATGTAGAATTGAGAATGTAGAAGTGCACGGAAATATTATATTGTTCATATAATAAAATCCCTCGACGAAAAATAAATATACTGATATTTTTTATATACAAATTATTATTTTTGAATTTCAATAATGTAACAATAATAAATACAATGTAAATACCGTATAATGTAACTATGTAATATTCTTATATTATTTTAAAAAAAAAATTTTGATTAGTAATTATACAAATTGAAAATTACGTATTTGTTATTTAGTAAAAACTTATCTCGAATAAATTATAACAAATTCCACAATATTTATTCACAATATATTATATTAATTATATAACATGATTAAATAACATTTCATTTAAATCATTTTATTAAAAAAAATCTTAACCTGCCGAAATACATAAGCAAATTAAAATATATTCCTATAAAATTTCGAATTAAAAAGGTTGTATATATTTTATATAATTGTTTGTTTCTTTTAATTATTTTCACAAAAAGAATCAGAAAGTCTGAATTATTCTTGAATAATATTGAATCATAATAAATATTTAAATAATACTCAATTTAAATTTCAGATTATTAAATATAAATTAATAAAGCAATTGATAAAATCAATCAAATTTTTATTAAATGTGCACTCAATATCTCTTATTCTTATTCAGAGAGAAATAATATTCGATTTAAATATCAGATATCAATAATACAAATTAATACATTATTATACATTACATTATTATTATATATTATTACATTATTACATTAATATCATATATCCATAAAAAATGTATACATATTGCAATTGTTTTTTTTATGTATCTCGTATGAATATTATAAATTTATTAATTCTTTTTTCGTACTTTTATTTTTAATATATACTAATGCAACAAATGAATCAAAATCAGAATAAAGCAATATTATTTCGATAACAGCAAAGATTGTTGATTTAGGCTTTCTTATATACACGTAAACATAAAATTCGATTTCGAATATTACTATTTCATTTTTTTGTTTTCATCTAGTTTTTTTTTTCTAAAAGACTAAATTAGTATTCAATTGTTAACAATGCTATTTCAATTCTATATAATTCAACTGATCTCATATTATGAAATCGAATTCGGAGTTTAATAAAATATTACATATTTGAATACATATTTAAAATAAAGTTTTAAATAAGTTAGTTTAAGTTTTAAAGTTTTTTTAATTGAGTAATTTTTATATAAAATTAAATTATATATAATAATAATAAATAACAAAAATAAATAACAATTAATTACCAAAATAATTTTATTCAAAGAAATATGAATAGTGAATAAAAATATCGTCCGTATGCAATAATAATGTTGTAAAAAAAAATATTATTTATTTATTTATTTATTATTATACTTTATAAAGTAATATTTATATAAGTTTTTAATAAAGATAAAACATGATATTAATATAATTGAAATATAGATATTGAAATTCGATTATTATTTTTTTCTATTTAACAATCTCATATCGAAATAAAAAACATTCATAAGATAAAGATAAAGTTCTTTCAACTAATACATTTCTTTGCTGAAATTCAAATTGATTCAAATATTAGTAACTTTCTTGTACACGTGGAGAATAAATAAATATGTAAAAAAATATATTCAATCTTTTTAATTGAAATCTTATGAAAGTATTTTGTTCCTATGGATTTCGGCAAATAAACAGATTGAATATTATACATACAGATTGAATATTATAATGATTCACTTATAGGTTTAAATAAAATGTTTATATTAATAATCTATCTATAAAATTTTATTAAATAAAATATTATATAATGTCAATATTCTGGAATTTATTCCAGATAAGTTTTTATTATATAATATTTTTGTTATATAATATTATATTATATTCAAATTCAAAAATAGTTATTATGTATAAAAAAATATTAGTATATAAGTATTTTTCAATTGAAGCTCTGTATTTTTCAATGCAAGCAATATATTATTTAACAGTATTCCTTATCATAATCGATTTCGTAACACATAAAATTTATACACTTCATATGAATATAAATATTTGATGTTTAATATTTTTTTTTCCATTGTTACTCTTATCTCATATTTACGGATCAAAGATCGTATGTTTTTAAATATTCCTTCCATATCATGTATGGCATAATATTTCGCAAAATCTATTTTTAATAAAAATGAAAGATGGGATAAATAAAGTTTCAATTTCAAAAGGAAAAAAGAAAGTATGGAATTATAAAAAGCAATTATTGTTTACATGCAATTATGATTACATGGACTTTCGTTTATTTGAAATATATTATAAATATATATAATATAATATATTTGCACAAATATATTATGTGTCGTACTGATACATAAAAAATTGACAATCGATATTTCTGAAAGCTTTTGTATAGAATAATTGATAATAAATAATATATGAACAAACATATATATTTTTATTTAATTATAAAAAATAAAAATGTCAAATTCGTTCTATTTAAATTATATTTTATATCTTTATTTTTATAAATTCAATAAAAATCAATTGTTACAATTATATTCCTTTTAAAATATAAAAGAAAAAGTAAAAAAAAATTAAATTATTAAATTTTTTAGTTACTTTTCTAGTTATCTAAAAAAGAGCATATAAACCATCTTAAAAATTTAAAATTCGTTAAATATAATTTAATATAATTTATAATTTTCATAATTTTTTTTTACTTTTTTATATTTTTCTATATGTTTTTATTTATTTCTATCTAAATAAAACAAAATGCTCATATATCACCGATATTCAAAATTCTAAAATTTTCATATTCAAATTTCTAAAATTCTAAAATCTATCAAACATTCGTTTAATCAATAATTATGAAGCTTTCAGCAACATCAAGCATACAATGTCCATTTAACAGCATAAGCTTAAAAAAAATAAATTTATAGAAATCATGATAAAACATACAATGTTCGAATGAAGTAAATAGAAAATAAAAAATAATTTTAATAACTGAACGAGTAAAATTTAATAAATAGAAATGTCCATTAAAATTTATTTAATAGACATTTTTTATTTATTTCAAATTACATAAACAACTTAATTTTATACTAAATAAAGTGAAAAAAAAAATAGATATAACGAAGAATCATTTCATTCTATTTCCGTATTTTTTAATATAAAATTAAATTGCTTTAAACTTAATAAATAAGCTACAATTTATATTTTTGCATAATAGTTTTTATTTTAATTTTTAGAATAATTCTTTACTATTACTATTTACTTCATTTAAACATTCTATTAAACTTACATTAATATTCAAATACAATCATAAGATACATTTTGAATTTGTTACTTTGTATGTGAATAAACGATATCTAAATCAAATGTAATCATATATTTTTGTAAACACAGGATGAAGGATTTAAAATAAACTATCTAAATAACTTATTTATTTTTAATGATAAAAAAATACATCATACCAATGTTGTTCGGTTTCGAAAGAGATATTTGAACGATCTTCAATTATAGATTATTGTATTCGTCTTAAAATATTTCATCAAAAGATAAATAAAATAACATATCGTTCTATTTTAAAAAAAAATTGACCTTAATATGGTATCTATAAAAAAAATATTAATATCAAATTATTTTCTTTGAAATCAAACATCTCTGTTCTAATATATTTTTTCTGTCCGTTAAAAGTAAACAAATTTTTATACGTTTACTTATTTTTTTTACTTATTTGAATACTGAATTCATTTCATTTTTATATTTTACTAATATTTACTACAAAAATGAATTCAATATTTTA